TTTTGGGTTTTATCCATATTTTTGTTGCTTCCTTTATTTTGGTTGTTGGGTGTTCAATTTGTTTATTTTAATTTAAATATTTTTTGTTATGTTCTGAGGATATGCGAACCATTTTATCTGTGCTGATTATTGCTCAAAGTTTCTGTAGGCTATGTTTTTGTTTTTTATTCTTTGGATTTTTATGCAAATGCCACTTGGAGCCTCTTTAATGAACTACTTTTTGTGGCCGGCCCCGTTCGACTGCTCACATTCAATTGAATTGTGCGTGTGCCACGCCTGCTGCCACCACCTTCCCTCAACCTCCTGTTCCAATGCGCATAATTTATGTGCCCGCTTCTCGCTGGCTCATTTGCCAAAGTTTCTATATATATATACATATATATGTATATATACATTACACACAATCGCACAAGATTCGCTCGATTCGTTTCTGTGTGCGTCACTTTGATAAATGATATCAATTTCTTATGAACTCTCCAGTACATAAGTAGCATAGTATAGGCGTCAAAGTTTGTTTTCCGAATGTTTTTTTATTTCGTTCTTGCCTCGTTTTGTTTCATTTTGTCTGTGTGTGTGTGTTGTGTTGCGTTGTGTTGTGTTTGTTGTTCAACTGTCGTCATTTTGCCAATTTGACACTTTTAACGGCTGCGCACTTGAAATTCAAATGCTTCCCGGCGCTTGACAGTTGAGCATATGAATTTTTAATGTGGCATGTGGCAGGCTTTTAGAGGCACGCGAAATCTACATATGGTTAAGCTTATCAATATGCTAATCGTTCAAGCGTGTCTGTGTGTGTGTGTGTGTGTGTGTGTTTCTGCATAATGGGGATGTTAACTAAGGTACTCAGGTGGATTCGGGCTGTTAGCAGGTACACGCTGTTGTCTTTTACTTTTCCATCAGACAGCAGAAAGGGGTTGTCGTACCTTGGAAAATGTTCTATAAATAGTACGCATGAATTATTAATGCGTACAAATCGGTTGAAATTTAAAATTAGAGTAAGGTATTTTTAAATGAATTAAGATTTTGCTCGTTTTTTACTGAGTATCATGGCGAAAAGAAAGTTGAAATTCCCAGAGTATGTCTATAAGCTATGTCCTGAACTTTTTAAATTATACTTGCTTACTATTTTTTTTTTATTAAAAGAACACAACTTCAACACGGTTGCCTGGGATTCGAACCGACATCCTTCTTGTTCTCTTGCCTGAAAGACTGGGACAGTTTAATTTTCAAATATAGATTCTATACTTTTCCTCTTTATATAATAATTGTTTCTTGCAAATGTGTGTAACTAGCAAAAGGAAATATCTCCGCGCACATAAACTATATACATGTACATCCCATTACTACAAGCTGAATCGATATGGCCACTTTCGATCATCCATAGATTTCGGAAACTACAAAAGCTAGAGACTTTAAATTTGAATTATATATCCTCGTATGCCGAATAAAAAACTAGTTTTCCATTTGCATACCATTGATAAATAACGTTTTCCAGATACGTTTGTTTTTTTACAATAACTCGAAGATTATAAGACCTAGTTACATCAAACTTGGTATGTAGGTTCTCGTACAGTATGCACAGTCTCGGAAATGAACACATTTTGAATAAGACAATTCGTTGCGTGGTTCAGGGTAGCCAGGCACTCTTGACTACATAACTCTTACCTTTTTTTTTTTGTTCGTTAATGTTGTTTCTCAATTATTTACATTTTTTTTAATAGAATAATTCCATTTTGTCGGGTCTACCAGTTGGTCAAAACTATTTTGGCCTTCTAAATTTGAAATATTTGTAAGGTTTCTAGTCCTTATTTTACTCATTTTGGGAAAGTACAGAAGTTACATGAACAAATTTTAATAATTGATTGTCTTAAAAGACAATTTTTAGCACTTTATCCATGTCTGCTTGAATGTCATGTATTATTTTTAAGTAAATTAGTTTTGTGCTCTAGTACTTTTCATTTATTAACAGCTCCATTTTGCTCGATGCGACTGTGAGTTAAAAAATGCTTGCGGCCTCATACCTAATCAAATCAGCCATTTTAGCTGCCAACTTTTACCAATTTCTCGTAAACTAACATTTCTAACGAGCCAAAAATGAAGAAAACACAACAAAAACAAAAAACAGAACATTTTGATGTGTGGCCAGTTGGCTAGCAGGCCGTCGGCTATTAGCCCAGAAAAAACACACACATTAGCCAGAAATGAAACGAGACGCAGACCCACCAAGTAGCCAGACGACAGACGACAAAAGCAACCGAAAAAAAAAAAATAGCCGCCAGCCAAAACAGTTCCCAGACAGAGAGAGAGAGACAGGGTAGGGTCCGGACAGGGGCGGGGCGAACTAGAAAAACTTTTGGACGCTAATCTATAATGCTGTCAGCCATTAAACATTAAACAACTGAAAAAACCAAATTTGTAACTCATTAAAAAACAAAGGAAAAAAAAAACGAAATGGAACTAGCTGAAAGTGAGTCGAAATGACTGATAAATGCCACTCGGCTGCTCTCGCGGCTGTCTCATTTGGGCTGCCAAATAATATTTAATTATAAACAAATAAACGCAAGTCGAACAACTTTTCTGAGAGCCCGGGGGCAACTCAATGGGGTCGTATCTATGTTGTTTCTATCTGCGTTTCTTTTTGGAGACTGCTGTAAAAGGTGCAGAGTGATTAATTATATGTCAGAGGAATTAAATCAAATATTTGAGTTGACACACACACACACACACACACACACACACTGAGAGAGAAACGTACACTTACAAAGCGAACCGAATGGTCTTAGCGGCTCTGCGGCTTATCTGTCTATACGAAATCACGAAATGCAAATAAAAATGACTTAAAAATGCCATAATAATTTTCCGAAGCGTGCATGAAAAATTGAAAAACCAATGAACAGAGAGCTGCGCAGCAGCAGGGCAAGTCCGAAAGATAACAAAATTCTCAACCTTTTCCGCTGTTAGATCAGGCAAGAAAGCAGACACAGTCAGTTAGGGCGAGCGAAAGGTAGGCAGGCAGCCAGTCAGGCAGACAGACAGACAGACACAGTCATGACAAAGAGAAAATATAAAGAGGAAGAAGAAGAAGAAAAACATTAGCATATATCAATGCCAAATGCAAATAAATCATCAATAACATTTCTTTTCCACTTATGCACCACTTACAGATACTTAACCGCGAGCAAGACAACAGTCGCTGAGGAGCGACTGCAGCTGCATTTATTTCCAACTTCTTCTTCTTCTTGGAGACGGAGCGCAGGAGCGAGAGAGTTTTGTCATATGCCTGGCAGCATTTGGGAACGGCGCCTTTTGCATAAATTGACGCCAGGCGGGCGGATAAGCCGAAAATGGGAGCACCAGCAGCAGCAGGCGCTGCGAGTGTGAGGCAGGAACAAGCCCAAAATGGAAAGGCAAACATAAAGCAATTTTATGCGTTTTTAAAATCCGTCAATTGACTGAAACAACAAAAGCTGCTGTTGAAATTCAAGAGAACCGCGTGTGAGCACGTTTTCCAGCAAAAAGAGGAAAAGGGGAGACGCACAAATCAAATACAGCCATATAAGCATATCGAATAGGAACCGCAGGACGAAGACGTCGCTGATAAGAAGGCAACTGCGAGGAGCCAAGCAGAACGCTTGATGGTTTGTTGACGACCAACAAAAAGTTGTTGAGCGTGTAAACATTTTCAGCACACAAAGGGAAAATGTAAAAAGGAAAAGCCAAGGAAGCTGGCAGCCGGCGGCACGAAAGGAGCTGCGAGTTACATTTATAAATGCGCTACAGTTACAAATTGTAGCCACAGCTGTGCGTGTGTCTGCGCTTGTGTGTGTGTGTGTGTGCAGCACATGTGCTCTAAACCATTTATAAATGTAACAAAAAGCAGACAGAGCCAGTTGGGCGCAAGTGCAATGCATAAATATAAACAAAGATACAAGTTGAAGAAGGAGCTAAACAAGATACAACAACAACAGCAGCAGCAACAACAACAACAACAACAACAATAATAACAACACGGACGGGGGAGCTGTGCACCATAAACAAAACGAAAAAAAAATCAATATTTTTTAAAGCGCCAACGAATTACATTTGTGTATCTGTGAGATAGCATTTAAAAGAGACGTGAAATCCAGTTCGACAAAAAGAAACTCACAAGCAAGGTTCAATTGCAGCAACATTTGCAATTTTTTGCAGTTGTATCTGCAAGATACATTAACGTTGAGGGTGTGTCGCGAGTGTTAAAACAAAAAGCAAAAAAAAAAAAAAACAATACGCGGCGTGCAGTGCATAAAATAAGCGAATTTATGTGCCAAAAGTGCAATTTGAAGGCGTAGATACATTTGTATCCGCAAGATACAATTGTGACAAGTGCAGTTTGAGGCAGTCAAAAATCCAAAAGTCCCAAGGCAGCTGTATTCGTGCAGTTAAATACAATTCTATCTGTGAGATTCATGAAAAATAATGCATCGGAAATTGCAGTTGAGATACATAAATAAATAAAAAACTGAAATACTTAAAGATACAATGATATAAGTGCTAAAGAGCAGTCAAGTAATCAATCTACAGTGCAAAGGAGCCTTTCACGCGACTTTCGCATAGAAAGATACAGATACATTATCAACAAAATGTTTTTGCAGCAACCGCGGCAACTGAACAGTAAAAAACCCAATCAAAGTAAAGTGCAAGTGCAGCAAATTTGATCCAAAACATACTTTTGTATCTATGAGATACATAGAAGAAAAGGTGCAATTACTGCGTCGATAAGTACACAACAGTTTTTTGAGTGAGATACTCTGACATACTTTTGTATCTGTAAAATAGTTTTGTATCCTGAAGATACATTTTCAACAAAAATCCGTTTAAATAGCAACCAAAACGCCAACGTCAATCGCCAGCCAACAATCAGCTAAAATCAAATCAAATAGAAAACACAGCGTAAATCTCTAACGCATTTTCACCTGATAATTCGATTTTTTTTGCTTTTTTTCTATCCAATTCATTTGCAGAGAATTCACAATTGGCGCCAACGGAGCCGCACAGTCAAGCAACAACAAATGGAACATGTTGATGCCGGTGCTGGAATACAACAAACACATTGCCAAAATACCAAATTGCAAAATGAGGTCGCTTAGGGCGTGTATGCAGCAACTGCTGCTATTGCTGCTGCTGTTCGGCCTCAGCGACGTCTGCCGGGCGCTGGACATTGCGGCCAGCAATGGCGGAGGAGGCGGTGGCAGCAGCAGCACCGGCTCCGGCTCTGGCTCTGGCCCTGGCATGGGTGCGGGTGGTGCGACTGCGTTGAGCGGGCCGCCGGGCGCTCTGAACGCCAATCTCACGGATCTGGGCAGTCCCGGTGTGTATAATTCGACAAATGGTTTAATGCTAATTACATGTAGAGCTGAGCTGTTTAACTGTTAACTCCCCAACCAAAGTTGAGGCGACGCCGCCATTTTGGCAATTTCATGATGTTTGCGTGCGTGTGTGTGTGTGTGTGTATTCTTGTGCGCATTTCCGGTTTCCGTTTCCGCTGGCCACTGGCCGGTTGCCTTGGCAAAAAACTATTAGCCACTTTTAGCTAAATAACCACGCCCAGCCACCCCAACTCTTATGTATATATATATATATAACAGCACACCTACACACACTAGCAAAACACTAAGCATCAATTAACCCAATTTTCAGAATCCATTTTCACCTGACTCCGGGCACTGCTCTCTGAGCTTTAGCTTTTCTCTATATACTTTGCAAGCTACACTTCTTTCATGTTTTCTTTTATTTTATTTTATTCATTTTCTTTTTATTTTTGTTCTAACCCCCACCCAATGCAGTAGTGTGTTTGGTCATACTCTCAATGTCCCATGCTGAAAAGAGTCTTATAGATGAAAGTTCTTTAAATATCATATGCAAGTTTATACTAAAAGTCTCTTATTCATCAAATTATATAGTCAAAAGTTATAAGATTCCAATAGAAGATTTCTTCACCCAAGACATTTCAATAAAATCTCTATGACAAGGTTACTAAATCTTGTGGCCAGGATTTGAGGCTATGCTAGACTAACAACCCTCTGTCCCTTGCTACTGGGTATCTGCTAGTCGGGCAACACCGACTAGAGCACACTGCTCACTATGCTGCACCAGCAATGAATCCCAAGTGGCGACGTCGTCGTACGCTAAACTTTAATCCCAGAAATTCCATCCACACATACTTGTACATAATGTGGCTCGCCTTTACCCGGCAGCTTCTCCTGGAATTTTTTCTTTCTTTACCCTCTTTCGCAGGCGCTGACGTGTTCTGTTGTAGTTTGGTTTTGGTTTGGTCTGGAGGATTGGATGGGAACGCCTTCATGGAAGCTGCCAGCAATGATTATAATTAATCTATTGATTTTAATTTGCAGCTTACTGAATAATTCACATAAATATTACAATTAATTTTTTCCAGCATTTAACATGGCATTTTTAAATAACTATGAACGAAATTTGTTGATGAAAATTCCGTTTATTTAATTTCTTTTTTTTTGTTATTCCCCAGCTCAGCGAATGGAGCTCATTACGAATTGATGAGTTCGTAATCAGCAGCAAGAACTATTTTTAATAAAATTTAATTTTAACAGGCATTTTTATTACAGTTTTCACAGTTTCTGATTTGCATTTAATCATAAATAATAAATATTTACACAATTCACAGGATTTCTTTTCCTATTAATCTAATTATACAATTTCATAGACTAGTTTTTATTCCGCATCTTCAACATGCGGGTGACATAGGCCCTAGACAGCTGGAACAAGCGCTGCTGAACAGACATTTGATTGATTTGCTGCCCAGCATTTATCAGCCCGTCCAGCTAGAAGCAGCTGCTGCAGAGACCAAACGCTGTTGGGAGCACTGGGAATGCCAACTGGTAAGTTTTATTGGGTGCGCCCTTCGGCAAGTTTTTAATACCAGAATTTGACATACATTTATGTAGGTGGTGGCAACTTCCTCAACTTATACGGGCCAGGCCTACTCTGAACTCGAGAAGCTTTGTGAAAGCAAAAGTAACGCAACTCTTGAAATAATTTAAATAGAAGTTCCATATGCTATATAATTTATATACGCACTAATTCGTCCAATTTACATATTTACAGTAATTGTTAACTTTTATAGCATTTTAAATTAGCTCGAAAAGACATAAATATTAATGCAAATATATTGAAAATCGCTTCGATGATTTTTGTTAATTGTATTTAATATTAAAATCTACTTTTAAATATTTGATATATTAAATTAAGCGCTTCATTTTGATTTGAGCGAAGAGAACCTTATCTGTTCGTGTTCACATTTCAAAAAAAGTTTTATATAAAATCAGTTGTAACTCATTATATATATTCCTATCAAATCATATAAAATTTAAAGCTCATAAAATCATTCATCAAAATCATCATTCATTAAAATTTTTTTTTATTCATCACTATTTTGTAATTTTTCTAAATAAAAATAAAAAGTGAAACAAAATGAATAAATTTATTGTAATTAAATATAAACGAAATATTGAGTGTGATTTTTTATTAAATGGAATAATTGTTAATATGAACTCCCAAATGCCTCCATAAATGTATGCAATCTATTTCCAAATCAAAGTATATCAGGTCGAAGACAAGTTTCCTTTTATATTGTACAATTCGAGTATTATTATAGTTTCTTAAATATATAAATCATATTGGCCAGTCTGTTCGTTTAACTGTTTAGACATGTTCTAGATTTATCTAGCCGATAAATATTCAGTAAATATAATCCTTATGTCCAAATCTATTATGAGATCGAAGATAGCTCTCTTGTTATTACCTTTTCCCTGGTATGTTACGCTTCACTTAGCGAACGGGGTGGGCAGGAAGTGGACTGCAGGCAAATGCCTTTATAAAGATAACGCTCGGCCTACGCGACTGCAGCTAAGAGAAACGTGTTTAAGGCCAACTCTTGGCCAGCCTTTCAGCTTGTTGTGTAGCCTGAGATACGGATATTTTTTATGCGTTCGCTGCAACTTGAAAGCCAAACATGGCACAGAGATCGATTGGAACGAAAGTGTTGATAAGGTAAGACCAAGAGATAAAGTCAATCAATCAGCGGAGACAGCGTCTTTTTTTAAATTGACTTAATTATCTAGATTAGAGACTAAAAATATTTGATGCACATGGAAATTGGTAACTTAATATGCCAATTGGCTGTGAACAAGGCAATGACTTGAGCTTATGAACATATTTAGAGCGCTTGGACACGACTTTGAATGGGTTTTATTAACAAATTATACAAAATATTTGGACAGCAAAACAATTTGCTGCGAATGACAACAAAAGATGGTATTGAGTTTCAATAGAAACTGGTTTGTGGTCTTATCGCAGTTGTTATTTTTCTTTTGTTGTGTTTTGTTTTCCGAGTTAAGAGCATTTCAGACATTATTGTTAAATTAGCTTGAAAATTGTCTGATCAATTTTCTAAGCCAAAAACTTGGCAAATTCCTGAAACTGCTGAAATACACGAAAACTTTCACATAGCGTCCTTTCAGCTGCCACACACATACACACACAGAAAACTTGCAACCAAACAAATAGCTGGCCATAAGAAGTTGTTCAAATATTTATTTACTTTTTCAAGTTGTTTCTTTATATCATTTTTTTTTCTTCTCTCTTCAATTCTTTATATATAAGTCCTTGGGGCAAAAGTTGGCCGCTACTTTTTGCACCTGGCTTAAGTTGTGCTGCTGCAAAACTAATAACAAATCTTTTCATTAGTTGCGTTAGACAAGTTAGTTAAAAAAGTGCACTTTAGGCAAACAAATGGGAGTCTATATACAGAAAACAATAGAGCAGAACAGCATAAGGAGAAAAAAATTGTCTAAGCCAATAACCAGCAGTCAGCTGCAGAAAAGCCACAGTTGGAGTTAGAAAACTGGCTGCAAGTTTTCGAAAAGTTGCCACTACCCTAACCATAATGAAAACACAACATTTAGTTAGCACTTGTATTTATCTAAGGCAGAAACACACACACGCACAGAGTGCAGCACTGAGTAGGATGGCCAACAGTTTTCCATTAATAACTCAAAAATGTTTTCACTTACATAAGTTCAGTACACCTTTTAACGGGCTCTCTGGTGTTGGCAGCTGCTTGCAAGTGTCCTTTAAAAAGTTGTGTGTTTCTTGTTTTTCATATTTTTCTTTTGCCCCGTGTTTGTTGGGCAACAAACAAATCAAAGGAGTTGGCAACTTGCTTTGCCACTCTATCTACTTGCTGGTAGGGGGTAGAGGAGGCGTGGCAGTACAATGACTCTAACAACAGCAGGGACAAGTCATGACAATGGCAATTAAAGCAACAACGTTGACAACAGACAAACTTTGGCAATAAAAAAACATTAAAAGCAAAAAAGAAGCAACAGCAACAACTATGGCAAAATGGGTAAAAACTCTCATAATAAACGAAAATTATGATGATTTTCTATTTGGCATCGCGTTTTACAAAATCATTTTCAAAGTCCAAGCGCAAAAACAAAGCAACATAAAAGCTATTCGACAAAGGAGCCCAAAAGACAAACACAGTTTGAAAGAGAGCGAGAGAGAAAGAAAGAGCGGGAGATGGAGATTAAGACGGAAAACCCGAATGGAAAAAGAAATTAAATGACGGGAAAATATATATATTAAATGATAGCAACAATGTTTATTGTCGCGAGTGCGTTAAGTGAAATCATTTACAGCTGGCTTAGCTTACGCTACTCATGAGAAAATTAGAAGGAGAGTTTTTTTTCGACACGCCGCAGATTAAACACCTTTGTGGTAATGCGGCTTAAAGTTTGGCAAATGGATATGAAAGTATACTATATTTAGTTAGTAATAAGCAAATGAAGTTAAGATAAATAGTATAAATAGATTTAGCCATAGTGGTCCGATCCGGCCGATGCTAACATATGTACATATGTACGAATGTGGCTTTGTCGACCAGGCTGTTGTTGCCGAGCAAGAATATGTATACTTTACGGTTCTTTTATGCGTAACGCATATCATGACAATATTATTAGAATTAGAACTTAGAGTTTGGTAAAGGAGTTTAATAAAGAATAAAGAAAACATAATAAGAGCTAGTTTTTAAATAGTTGTTGCCCTTGCATTTTCATGAAATTTCGAAAAACTTTCGAAATTAAATTTTTTAATGCCAATCGATAGTATTGATCCTTACGAGCCAAAAAAAGTACATCATTTTAAAATCGATATATTCCAAAAAATCATCAAAAAAGGTTGACTAAGCAAACGAATTGCTTTTTGACCAACAACTTTTTTTAACCCATCGATTTTTAAAATGTTTAAATGCCAATTGATAGTAGGGATCCGTACGAATTCAAAAAGGTATAACATTTCAAAATCAGACGTTATTTATCCAAGATATTCAAAATAAATCATCAAAAAAGTTTTGATTTTCGAAACGACCCCGATTTTTCGTAAAAGCGTGATGTATTTTCGAAACGACCCCGATTTTTCGAAAAAACGTGATGTAACCCCTTGCCATTTCGTCGATTTTGGTCAAAATTTAGATTTTCATATTTTTGATGCCAATTGATATTACTGATCCTTACGAGTCCAAAATGGTATAAAATTCCAAAATCGGACATTATTTGGCCGAGATATTCCAAAAAAGCATCAAAAAGGGTTGACTTTACAAACGAGTCGGTTTTTGATCAACCACTTTTTTTAACCCATCGATTTTTAAAATGTTTGAATGCCAATTGATAGTAGGGATCCGTACGAATTCAAAAAGGTATAACATTTCATAATCAGACGATATTTATCCAAGATATTCAAAATAAATCATCAAAAAAGTTTTGATTTTCGATACGACCCCGATTTTTCGAAAAAACGTGATGTAACCCCTTGCCATTTCATCGATTTTGGTCAAAATTTAGATTTTCATATTTTTGATGCCAATCGATATTACTGATCCTTACGAGTCCAAAATGGTATAAAATTCCAAAATCGGACATTTTTTGGCCGAGATATTCCAAAAAAGCATCAAAAAGGGTTGACTTTACAAACGAGTCGGTTTTTGATCAACCACTTTTTTTAACCCATCGATTTTTAAAATGTTTGAATGCCATTGATAGTAGGGATCCGTACGAATTCAAAAAGGTATAACATTTCAAAATCAGAAAATATTTATTCAAGATATTCAAAATAAATCAACAAAAAAGTTTTGATTTTCGAAACGACCCCGATTTTTCGAAAAAACGTGATGTAACCCCTTGCCATTTCATTGATTTTGGTCAAAATTTAGATTTTCATATTTTTGATGCCAATCGATATTACTGATCCTTATGAGTCCAAAATGGTATAAAATTCCAAAATCGGACATTTTTTGGCCGAGATAGTCCAAAAAAGCATCAAAAAGGGTTGACTTTACAAACGAGTCGGTTTTTGATCAACCACTTTCTTAAACCCATCGATTTTTAAAATGTTTGAATGCCAATTATAGTAGGGATCCGTACGAATTAAAAAGGTATAACATTTCAAATCAGATATTCATTAAAAATATTCAAAATAAATCAACAAAAAAGTTTTGATTTTCGCAACTACCCCGATTTTTCGAAAAACGTGATGTAATCCCTTGCCATTTCGTCGATTTTGGTCAAAATTTAGATTTTCATATTTTTGATGCCAATCGATATTACTGATCCTTACGAGTCCAAAATGGTATAAAATTCCAAAATCGGACATTATTTGGCCAAGATATTCCAAAAAAAGCACCAAAAAGGGTTGACTTTACAAACGAGTCGGTTTTTGATCAACCTCTTTTTTTAACCAATCGATTTTTAAAATGTTTGAATGCCAATTGATAGTAGGGATCCGTACGAATTCAAAAAGGTATAACATTTCATAATCAGACGATATTTATCCAAGATATTCAAAATAAATCATCAAAAAGTTTTGATTTTCGAAACGACCCCGATTTTTCGAAAAACGTGATGTAACCCCTTGCCATTTCTGATTTTGGTCAAAATTAGATTTTCATATTTTTGATGCCAATCGATATTACTGATCCTTATGAGTCCAAAATGGTATAAAATTCCAAAATCATTTTTTGGCCGAGATATTCCAAAAAAGCATCAAAAAGGGTTGACTTTACAAACGAGTCGGTTTTTGATCAACCAATTTTTTTAACCATCG